ATTTTCAACAAAAACACTTGTTTACCCCCCCCCCCACCCCACACTTAAACCAAACATTGTCCTCAATGTTTCAAACATAAACTCACAAGCAAGCAAGCAAACAACACAACTAACAATCATGACAAGCATGTCAAAGTAAAAGCAATAAGGAGTAGAGTTTAAGAACGCAAATTTGGTTATGAAGTCAGAGCTTCTTAGGTCTTCTTTATTTGAACGCATGGGTTGCCTTTAAAGAAGCGCTTGCTTTAACGTCTTCCAGCCGGACGATACCTCCTTTTAAGCTTCATTGGAGCCCACTGACTGGAGGAGTATTTCCTCCACAACCTACCCTTCGAAATACTTCATACTTTGGATATTTGAATGGGAAAGGATAGTGATCCTTCATGATTATGGTGTTTTGCTTCCGTAAGTCAACATGAACTCTCCCACCACCTTGAATTCGACTAGGTACCTGCACCAAAGGAGGTAACAACCTATTATTTGAAATGGGAATTGGAATTGGAGGAGGTGGCTTACCAATGTGCTGCAATGAAGTGGCAGCACTGTCAACAGATGCATAAGGGGTGTTCTCAGCCAGATTTGATGGTTTGAGGATTGGGGCGTGTTCCTTATGCTTTACTCCAATTCCATATTCGTTGGTGGTTCAAAATTCATCCTTCTTAATTGGTGTTGAACTTTCCTTCCCTATATTTAATTACATTAATGGCAAAACAAGGACGAACATCATTAGGATTCTTAATAGATTCAAAAACTTTAAAGTTGATCATATCACCACCAAACTCCATAGTTAAGGCTCCCTTGGCTACGTCAATCTTGGTGTGGGCAGTTTTTATGAAAGGTCGTCCAAGTAAGAGTGGCGATGGTGGAGAGTGGCATGAGTCCTCTTTGTCAAGCACGTAGAAATCTGTAGGAAAAATCAAGTGGTCTACGTGCACCAAACCTATTTAAATTTGCCTTAAGCAGGGGATTAAATAAATTTGGAGAACAATTATTAACCCAACATGAAAGTGAAGCCAAAGGAAATTTTTATTCCTCCTCCCTTAGCGTTCTTCTTTTCTTGCCCTTGCAAAGAGTCGTTTCTCATTGTTCTTCTTCTCCGTGCCGTATTAAGGTAAGAAAAAATTTGAATTTCTTCTTCCTGAATTTTTTGGGAGTCTTGGGATTTGAAAAATTAGCTTGGTGGATGCCAAGGAGATGTGAGTGGTGTGGTAGGGATACCACGAGGCTACAGGTAGTGCGGTAAGAGGGTCAGCTCGGCTTAGCCAAGGTGTCGGCGGTGCTAGGGTGCTGAAAGGTTGGCATGGGCCAAACCTTGCAGGTTGCTGGGTAGGGGACCATGTAGTAGAGAGACAAGAGAGAGGGAGAGACGGGCTTAGGCTGGCTCTCGGTCTTTGGTGGCCTGGGTCGCATGACCCAACCCTGCTTTGTTGGGCGCTTAACGTGAGAGCGGAGAAGGGAGAAGAGGAATGGTCCTCCCCCCACGTTGGGTCAGTCCGTGTGTGAGAAAAAGAGGGCCGAGAGGCTTTAGGCCTAGTTGGACTGCTCAGTGTGTGGGGAAAAGAGAGTATAAGGGTCGTGAGGCTTTACGTGAGGGCGTTGGGCTTACGGTCTTCTTCTTTTATTTATTTATTCTTTTATTCTCTCATCATGAAATGATTTCTAAATATTTTTCCTTGTACTTCTCACAGAGACTTTAAGATGTTTTCCCCCGACCATAAAAGTGACGAATATCCTCCACCTTTGTACCGTCAAGGTCGTTCTTCCGGCAAGGTGGGTTACTTTAAAGTTGTACATGTCAAGATCAATTCCGACGAGCTGTTTTGGGATTTTCTTGAGGCGTACAAGCATGTGATTCCATCAGGGGTTCACGTCAAGCAAGTGAAAGATGATAGCGACCATGAACCATGCGGTGAGGGTGCCTCTGCTAGGAAGAGAGCTATCAAATTCCATCCGTACTACTTTGTGTTGGGATTTACTTTTCCTACGTTGCATTTCTTCCAGGAGGTGATATGCTTCATGAGATGTGCGCCTGCTTAGTGCTTCCCGAATGCAGTTCGTACGATGGTGGGGTTCTCGAACCTGAGCAGGTTTTTTTATCTTAGCTTGACCATAAATGAGTTTTATTCCTTCTTTGAGATTAGCCACAAGGAAGGTGTAGGGCAGCTGAGGTCTTACCATAGGCTGCTCGATGCTATTAGTAAAGGTGATCATGAGTAGGCAAGAGATACCTTGAGGGTAAGTGGAGAGTGGGAGTTTGACTGCGTGTCCCTACTACCTTTATCAGTGGTAAGTGAACTGCTTCATTCTTGTCTTGCTTGAGTTTTTGTTGAGCTCATCCATGACTTTAATTTATTGATCGTTTTTTTTACTTTGCGTAGATTAAGAGTTTGCTCAACTCCTAGGACTTCGACAGATATGAAGAAAGTGCACGTCACCTTAGGCATTCTTGCTGAGTACCGTGAGTAGCAATGGCTGCTTAGCCCTCTTCATTGAGAGAAAGGTGGCCTGCCTCCGAGGGAAGAGATAAAGAGGATAAAGTATGAGGTGTTGGCTCGCCCGATCGATGCTGTAGAGCTTACTGCCAATGGTGGTGGAAAGAAGAAGTATTCTTTACCTGTTTATGAGCCTTCAGCTGAGAAGAAGCCAATGACTTATTCTACTGCTTGTGGGAGCTCATTTGCTGCCAAGAAGCTTGTCATTGATCTAACTTCCCCCAAGGGGGTGAAGATGACCGTTGAGCCCGAGCCTGTGAAACCTGTTACTCTGTAGGTGACCACACCCATTGCTAAGAAACTTGCTCAGCGAAAGAGTTTGGTGACGCATTCGGTATCCCGGTTTGTATCGAAGCGTCCATCGGGAGTTGAGTCTGGCTCTGCTTCTCAGAGGCGTATTGGCAGTTGTGAGAGATCCACCGAATCTGAGGTTGGAGAGTTTCTTGAAGTTTGTGTCCTGCTGAAGGCTGACTTGCTTGAGGAAGTTGATGCATGCGCCAAGTTTGTTGATAGTGTTAGGAAAGTTGTCGTCTGTTCGAACTCTTTTGTGAAGCGTTCTACCTACCCGAAGAGGTCTTCCCTAATTGCTACGATGTATAAGACTTTGATCATAGCAACCAAGTTTATGCGCATTGATCATTATGTTGTCAAGTGTCTACCCCCACTTCTTTGCAACTAAAGATCGCTCATCAGAAGCTCGTACACTTGAATGCTATGCTTAGTGCGACTTAGGCAATGTTAAAAGTTGTAGAGAATGAAGTTAGTTGTGTTTCTCCGATGGTCGAGGACCTTAAGCATGTCAATTTGGAGCTACGATCTACTTGTTTTTCCAAGGACGAGGAGTTTATCTTCATGTATGCTGAAGTGCTTTATCTCAAGAAGGTTGCCAGTAAACTTGAGTCCAAGGAAATGGATCTGCAAGGTGCGATGTCTATTAGTGAGAACCTGAAAAAGAAATTGGATGAGCTGTAAGGTGATCACACTAGGCTTGCTTATTGTCAGGCCGATTTCTACAAGCTTAGCTATGTAGACCATCTTCAGAGCAGGTTGTCGGATTATGAGTTTTCCGAGAAGGACTTTGAGACTTTTTCCATTTCTCTAGTTGATCTGCTTGATTTCTAGTTTGAGGTTGCTTTTGGTGGAGCAGCTGAGGATCAGGCAGTCCAGGCAGAGGCGGCTGAATATGAGCTGATGGAAACTTTAGCTGCTGTGAATGGCACGGCTGTTGAAAGCGTGGCAGTTGAGAAACCAGTGGTTACACAGACTGCCAATGAGTAGTCTTTTTGCTAAGACTTATGAGTTTTCTTCTCTTTTTTTTTGTTATTTTTTGCTTGAACTTTGTTGGCATTCGAGCCGGTTTATCAAGTTGCTAGAAATTTAATAAACAGATTTCCTTGTTTTTGCTTCATCTTTCTATTTTACCATGTCTTTTGCGAAAATTTACCGTAGGACGGGTGGTTAGGTGAGCTGCTTCAATGAAGCAGTTGATCCCAGGTCATCACTTAGGTTTTAGTTTCAGCTTCAGGGCTTGGGAACCTTACCTGTTGGAGGCAACTTGCAAAACTTCGCCGTAGGATGAGCAGTTGAGTTGTCTACTTTGATGGAGCAGTTGACTTGCGTGGTCACTTTAGGCTTTAGTTTTGGCTTTGATACTCATAGAGCTAGGGGTGGTTCGGTATGGGATCTCATACCGAAACCCTTGTCCCGATTCCCATACCGAAATTTTCGGGAATCCCAATTTCAATACCGATCCCAAACCAAATTTTCAGGAATCCCAATTTCGGGAATCCCGAAATAGTTTCGGGATTTCGGGACAAATCGGGAATCCCGAAATAATTTTGGGCTTTTGGGCTTTTGGACAAAAAAAACTAATATTGGTCCAATTGATGAACTGCATATGCTTAAAGGTTTCATGGACTCGGACAATTGATGCAATATCACAGTAGTTGGCAAGGCCAAAGAGGCCATTACGGCGAGAGACCAAAACACAAAACATCACCGTCCACTCAGATTGGAATAACGATTGATGCTGCCATAGGTAGTGTGAGATACTCGAGAGAACAAATACCAAACAATTAAGCAATCTTGATGTTGCAAAAATATAGTATCAATTTTACTGCCATAGTTTAAAACCCGGTTCGGCCTTGGGAGGGATCAGATAAGCATTCCACGCAGAAGAAATGGATTGACATTTAGTAGTAAACAATACCGGCACCAACAATCTCAGACATGCTTGCATTTACAAATACAATTAAAATATCACAACAAACAAATGAGAGCACAATGATGAAGGACAATGCACAACAATGGCACTTGGTAGTGGTACCATGATAATCTCAGGGGTTTAACAAAATGTGGGATAGGATAATTCCAGGAGAAAATTTGCAAAATCCGTATCCATACTCGGCAAACAGGCAAAAAACAAAAGGGAGAAATTGATTGGATGAAAAACTAAGCGCAATTTTGACACAAACATCAAGTTTAAATTCAAAACTAGAGAAACAATCACAGGGGTCGTCAGATAGGAGCGAAAGACATGAAATTTGCTTAATCACAGAGATTCAGTTGAACTATTGCCTCATGCCGTAACCCCCGAATCAATGCTCCCTAGAAAACCACAACATACCTGACTAAATTCTGTGAAGAGACAAAATCGCAAAAGAAAAGAGAAAGAGCGAGAGGTGTGTGTGTGACAGTTAGATAGAGAGATTTCAGAAAACTAAATGAATTACCTAATTTCAGAAAACCAAGGGAGACCGTGAGAGAGATCCCCAGTTCTGTCCGTGAGAGAGAGAGATCGCGAGAGAGAGTGGTGGTTGTGTGGTGAAGGAAGCCTGGATAGTCAGAGACGAGAGTATGGTGTGGTGGTGGGCCGGTGGCTGGTCGGAATTTGACAGTCTGGTGAGGGACGACGTTGGTGAGGGCCGGAGGCTAAGGGTCAGGGCAGGGCTGCACTTCGAAACAAATGAACGGAGGAACTAAAATGTGATCTGACCTAAAAACAAATCAACGGCACAGATTAAATCCAAAACAATCAACGGTTGAAATAATTCACTTATAATTAAAAATTATATATATATATATATATTTTCGGTTTGGTATGGGAATACCGAAAAAATGAAATGCAATGTCGAATCCCATACCGAAACTTTCGGTTTGGTTTGGGATTACATCCCGAAAATTTCGGGAATTTTGGTTTGGGATCGGGATTTTTTTGGTTTGGTTTGGGATTTTTGGGATTTTTTTCCAGCCCTACATAGAGCTTTACCTGCAAGAGGAAAAATGGAAGATTTCTAACTTATAGAATCGGTGGCCGAACTCATGCTCCCGCAAAGACCAGATAAGTTCGTGTAGTTACTATAGTTGTGAATCTTAGCTTTGAATGGCTTCATGAACCTTTAGCCTTCCTGGGGTGTATTTACAAAATGTTTAACCTATAGGGCCAGCGGTCGGACTTGTGCTTCTCGTGGGAAGCAGAGAAGTTCGCGTAGCTTTTATGGTTGTACTTCAACTTTTGTGCGGCTTCTTGAGCTTCGGCCCTCCCGGGGCGTGCTGCGAAGTGTTTAACTTATAGAGTTGTTGGCAAGACTTATGCTTCCTGTAAGAAGCAGAGGAGCATTATAGTCGTACCTCAGCTTTGGAGTGGCTTCTTGAGCCTTGGCCCTTTCGGGGCGTGTTGCGAAATGTTTAACTTATAGAGTCATCTGCGGGACTCATGCTTCTCGTATAAAGCAGAGAAGGTCTACATATCCTCTATAGTCATACCTCGGCTTTAGAATGGCTTCTTGAGCATTGGCCCTCCCTAGGCGTGTTGCGAAGTGTTTAACTTCTAGAGTTGTTGGCGGGACTCATGTTTCTCGTAGAAAGTAGAGGAGGTCTGGGTATCCACTATAGTTGTACCTCAGCTTTGTTCTAGCAAAACTTAAATTGTAAATCGTCGGCCGGAAGTGCTGCTTGTCAGTAAGCAGGCGACTCCACGTAGTCATAACAAGTGTAAGTATTGGTTTACGAATTGCAATGGGCTTTTAGCCATTGGGCCGTCGACCGGGCGTCTTACTTACAGAAGCAGACGAACCGCGTAACCACTTCAGGCATCATCCATGGCATCTCGGAGGCATTTTAGGCATGAGGTGTAGGTAAAATCGCGTCTCAGAGGCCATATCCTTCATAGTCGCAGCTTTGATTCCACAGGTTGCTTAACTAGTATTACAACACTTTAAAATCAAGCCACTTCATGAAGATTTGCACGTCGAGGAATGACCATCTTGTTACGCGAATTATTTCATGGCCAGGGGTCCTGCACTTAGCATCTTTTCTGTTTAGAGACTCGGGATCCCACGGAATTGAATCTTTCAGTTAGCTAAGTACTGGTTTGGTACTGATGTGCTTTTATAAAATGTGGATATAAAAAAAAAGTTGAGCTCAAAATGTGTTTGGTAAACACATAAAAACGGCTTACTTTCACAGTTTTGGATGAAAAAAAAAAGCTGAAAACGTGGAGCAGCAAAAATGAGCTTTCAAAAAAAGCTGAAAGCGTGAAGCAACATAACTGTTGGATTATATGTTGAATGTTGGATTATGATTTCTTGTTTAACGTTGGATTATAATTTATTGTGAAATGTTGGATTATATGTTTAATATTAAGTTTATAAATATTTTTCTTTTAAAAATAAAGTGTATTTAGTAATTCACCTTTATTTGTTAAGAAAATTAAATTAATGGCACATCTAGTATTATACCCTTTTTGGTCATTTCACACAGTCATAGTTGTTTTACATAAAAGTTTACCAAACATTATAATACAGTTTTTTTTCTTTCCAAAAACACTTTTACAAAAAAGTTTACTAAACACTCTTCTGCTTTATTTCATAATTGCTTATTCTCACAACACAACAGAAGCAGTTTTTTTTTCCAAAGCACAGCAATACCAAACCAGCCCTAAGTCTATCCTGGAGGAAGGACTATCGTGGCCTCTTCTCGTATAAGGGCAGAGCTTACTGCTACTTTTGATACCGCCAGATAGATATATAGGTTCTCCACTGCTTCCAGCTTGGATAATAGTGGAGGTGATGTTAGGTACCGTTTCAGGTCCTCAAATGCTTTCTCGCACTCATGGTCCTACTTGTCCTTCTATGCATTTTTGATTGGCTTGAAGAAGGGCTTACATCGGTCGGTGGATCGCAAGAGGAAACGATTAAGCGCAGCTACTCATCCGGTTAGACTTTCAATCTCATTCAGAGTCGTGGGTGATTTCATGTCCAGGATCGCTCGGATCTAACTTGGATGAGCCTTGATTCCTCGTTGGGTTACAAGGTACCCTAAGAATTGGCCTGAGAAGATGCCAAAAGTGCACTTGGCTTGGTTAAGCTTCATGTTGTATTCTCAGAGGATGTCAAAAGTCTCCGCCAAGTTACGAATGTGGTCTGACCGCTGCTTGCCTTTCACCATGATGTCGTCAACGTAGACTTCCATGGTAAATCCGATCTGCTTTTTGAACATCGTGTTTACGAGCCGTTGGTAGGTTGCTCCCGCGTTCTTGAGGCCAAATGCCATGACTTTGTAGCAGTATATGCCTTGCTTGATCACGAACGCGGTGTTTTCTTTGTCAGGCTTATGCATGGCAATCTAATTGTAGCCTGAGTACGCATCCAATAAGCTGAGCAACTGGTTCCCAAATGTTGAGTCAATGAGCAGGTCGATCTAAGGAATTGGGTAGTTGTCTTTAGGGAATACCTTATTGAGATTGGTGTAATCCACATATACTCTCCATTGGCCCTTCTTTTTTTTTCATCATTAGCATGACATTGGCCAGCCATGCTGAATGCACCACTTCCTCAATGAATCCAGCTTACAACAACTTATTGATTTCCGCCTCAATAATCGCCACTCGCTCAGGTGCAAAATGTCACATTTTTCGGGATCATAAGTTTGGCAGCGAGGTTAACATGCAGCTTGTGGCAAGTTATCGTTGGATCAATGCTGGGAATGTCAGAGGGTGACCGTGCAAAAACATCACGATTTTCCCTAAGGAAAGCTGTGAGTTCTTATTTCTCCGCCAGGCTTAGACGTGAACCGATTCTAGTCGTCATTTTTGGCTGGTAGGGATCAAGAATGGTGTCTTCGGCGTCCTTTTCGGGTTTTCATCCTGATTCATCTTTCAGGGCATTGTCGATCTTGACGCCATCTTCTTGACCTGCTTGCTGTAATTGCTATTTAGCGAAGGTAGAGTCATCTTTCTGCATTTCAGCTGCTACTACTGGGACAAAAGACTTATTCTTTGATTCCTTTAGAACTTGTACAATGCATCGCCTGGATAAGGCTTGGTCGTCCTTGATCTCTCTGACTGCTCCTCCTAGGATGCGAAATCAGATTTTTTGATACTCAATTGAGGTCACAGTTTTAATATTCACGAGCTAGGGTCAACCCAGTATCCCGTTATGGGGAGATGGGTCCTTAACGATTATGAAGATCTATGATGAGACAATTGGTGGGCTCGTGACGTCGAGTGTGATAGTGCCAATGGCGGTTGAGGTAAGTTTGTTCAATCTAGTCAAGACCTACACCTTACGTTGGATCGTGCTTTCCAGGTCTATCTTTTGGATGACTGACAGTTGTAGGATGTTGGCTGAGCTGCCGTTGTCCACCATAATTCTGTGAACGATGGCATGGGCCAGTTAAACAAAAACCACCAAGGCGTCACCGTGGGGAAAGTCTACTCCCTCAGAGTTTTGCTCGATGAAGCCGACGATTGGTCCAGGTACAGCATCAGTGATTTGAACCTGATAGACCGATCTCGCCTGCGAGATCTTCCTTTTATTGGAATTATTGGTGGCCTTTAGATGCTCAGATTCGACAAAGATTCAGTTTATTTGGATTGTCTTGGTTGGGGGTTTGACTTCGGTATCTACTTCTCGCCTTGGTCGGGCAACTGGTCTGTTGGCATACCGGTCGCATTTGCCTTCATTCACGAGTTGCTCGAGGTATGTTTACCATATGGTGCAGGCGTTGGTTGCGTGCCTAGGGCTTCTATGGAATACACAGTACTTTGTTTAGTCTTTCTTGGAGGTGTCCCCTCTCATGGGTAGCGGCAGGTTAAACCACGCTGTATCTTTGAGGTCACGAATGATTTGGCTGATCGAGACTGAGAACTTGGTGTATGTCTTGGGCGATATACATTCCTTTGCTGGGGACCGATCCCTTCGTTTATCTCCTGGCTTGCTTTTGATGTTGAGCGGTTTATCGCTTGCCTTCTTCTGAGTTGGTTTCGCGGTTCTATGCGGCTGCTCAAGCGGCTTCTGGGAGTATTTTTCCTTATCCCAGAGTGAATGATTTTCTTCCAAAGCATAAGAGTTTGCCAAGGATAGGTTCTTGTCCATGATTAATTCTCCGAATAAAGGGTGATCTACTGGGAGCCTTTTTTGGAAAGCTGAGCATGCGAGGTTGTCATCACATCCAACAATCTTCATGTTGAAGAGGTAGTTAGATTTCTTTTTGATTGAGCAGTAGACGAATATTCCTTAGTCAAAACCAAAGAAAGTTCGCTAAAGTTCTGGATTGAAAATGGCGGTAGGGTGTGGAACCAGTCTTGCACCTCG